CTTAACCAATCACAATGCAACGGATTCCGATTACGGTCATTGTAATTACAGTCATTGTAAAAGTCAAACTTTCATTTCCTTATATTTTTCCATTGCTACTGTCTCCAAGTGTATTATTTTCTTCACATACTTGATGATTGCCTAAATATATTATTATATATTTAGGCAATCATCAAGTATGTGAAGAAAATAATACACTTGGAGAAATATACATTATAAGTTAAAATACTTGATATTTTTATACATTTCAATATTACTATTGTTTGTATCATAGTTTTCTTTTAAAATGTCAGCAATGAATGATACTGCAGGTGGCTAGTCAAGAACTTCATTTCTTTTTTCCAATTCAAGTTGATGCTCCTGAATATAAAAAAAGACAAGAAATAAAATTGTTTTCCACAAAAGTAATTCATTATAAATTATAATAAATTACTAATTACATTATAAATTACAAAAAAAAGATGCTACATATACGTATATATTTCTTCCACTGGTGTACTATCTGGACAAAAACCTAAATGTATGTAATCTAAACCCGTACAAGTGATGACACGTTATTCTAAATTGTCCAAAAGTTCTGAATTTATTAGAAAATTTCCTGTTCGATTCCATTCATTTCTTATTTTTGCTGCTTTCTTTGATGAGTTGCTTTTTATATCTCTCCATACCTAAACAAAAGTAATGTATAATAATAAATATAATATATATAATGTATATAATGTTCTTATGCTAATATTCATTATATACTTCCAAACAATAATTGAAAATGTAATTGTTTTAATATATTTCGACAAAAACATACCAGTAATAAAATTTAATTACATAAAAATTATGATTATGAAAAGCGTGTTAATATTTTTCAATAAATATACCGATATTACAACATATGTATAATATATGTAATGTAATTACATATTTTAATAATTACTAACAATAGAAAAATATCAGAAAATTAAAGTTTGACTTTTGATAATGTATTATGAACATACCGATTAAAGCAGTTACATTTTCAATTATTGTTTAAATTATATACCGTCTGCCATTGCTTTGTCGACTTTCCGAGTCCAGTACTTAATGAATTTAAAAAGTCTTTTAATTTTTTTCATTGTGTATGATGAATTTTACCCTCTTTAGTTAAAAACTTTTTGCAGTAAATTCTAAATGAATCTCCATATATTTCACTAACTCTTCGTATTGGACTTGTGTTGTACGTGCCATACGAGGTTTTCTTGTAATTTAAAAACATTTATAGCAGTAAGATAAATAGAATACTAAGTACAATAATAAATATGATAAAATATGATAATAATAATTCAATTATACGCGTGTATGTTAGTACACGCATGTAATTGAACACATTCTCAGACCTAATTTATGTAATAGTCGCGTATGTTATTATAACAATGTGTTCATATAATTTTTATAATTATACATATATTACTGTGTTTCAATAACAATCATTAATATATAGTTATATATTAATGATTGTTATTGATTGTATACTTAATAAAAATAATATAAACTTAAAAATAATGTAATAAACTTAAAATATATATACTTAAAAAAAATAAAAGTTTTTATACATACCTGCATATACATTAATATATTATATTCATTAGTGCATAATTTTTTACTAATAACATAATAAAACATTATATATATAATAATCAATTACACACACACACACACACACACACACACACACACACACACACACACACACACATATATATATATATATATATATATA